ATAAATTGCAAGTAACCCTAAGGTATATTTGAATTTGTAACCTTACACTCGTAAGTTTGCTGAAGTTTTGATCTAATATTCCAGTAATATTGCTGAAAGGTTATCATTCATAAACCTTGCATTTGTAATATTACCCTAAGGTTGTTTCAGTACTTGCCGCAATACTGCGTCAACATTACAGTAAACTTCAATATAACCTTACAAGTTTGCAGTGTAATGTTACCTCATTATTACTGTAATCTTATTTTGTTCAGTGGGGTGTTACAGACCAATTTTTGAATGTGTAGATTTTCACAGTGAAATTGTGTAGCAATTCAAACAATTGTGCACTGTCAATTTGACAATCGAATAGGCATCTGACAGCCATGACAGCAGACACTCGCGACATGTCAACCGGAGAATAGAACCGGAGTCTCATGCTCTCATGCATCCGTTTTCCGAAGTCCGATGTCCGAAAAACCTTCTATCTGACATCTTTTTATACGATTATGTCCAAATAAAAGGTTTTTCGGACATCGGACGTCGAAAAACGCTGGCATGAGACTCTGGCTTAAGGCTCCGAATTTGTACTTTGAAGTTAAAGTAATAGTTTTGGACGCTTGCAACAACTTTTGTCACTTTGCATGAGCAGATCTGATCCAAAGATTCCAACGAAAAACAGAACCATCTTGACTCTGACACTCAACGCTTATTGCGACATCTTTGGAAGTGGCTAAATTCACTACCGTTTCAAGAATTTTGAGTTACGGAATAGGTGATTTATCCATTGTGTAGCATTTCTGTGCAGTTTATTAAAAAGTGTAGCAGACAGATGAAATTGCTCATTGGGGTGCACCTGTGTAATCGATAGTCCAATTGTGTAGCAAACTACACAATTGTGTAGCTTGTAACAACCCTGTACCAAATTTGCTAAAATCGGTCCCTTTTGAAGCAGGTATAAATTCTAAATTTTTGACAAGACTATCAGAGAGAGTTGAAAAACTAAATCCATTAGATAGGTGCTGTTCTTTGATTTTTTATGAAATCTCTTTAACAGAACAGTGCACCTATGATAAGTTTAACGACAAGGTTATTGGATATATAGATCTAGAGCCCTTAGGACGTACAAATCAACATGCAAATCATGCACTAACTTCTATGCTCAATGGCCTACATAAAAAATGGACGCAGCCAGTTGCATATTTTTTTACTCGGGATACTATAGGAAACATACCAATTAAAAAATTTAATCAAAACCGTTATTATAAAATTAGAGGAGATTGGACTAAATATTTTATGTACTGTTTGCGATCAAGGACCTACAATCGTTCGCAATCTAGACCTGGGGGCGGATTATGAACTCTCGATTCGAACCGAAACCGCCATGGATTTCGAACGCATTCTGATGCATTTGCATGGAGTGCATTCGAAATCCATGGCGGTTTCGGTTCGAATCGAGAGTTCGTAATCCGCCCCCTGGTCCCTATTTCACTGTCAATAATCAGAAAGTATTTACAATCTTTGACCCACCTCATTTATTAAAAAACACCAGAAATGCTCTTCTAAAATATGAGATTAAATATAATAAATGTAAACTTGCAAAAATGACTCACATTAGACACTGTTTTTACATAGACAGGAAAAAAAGATTCCAAGCTCTTAGGCGTATTCGGGAAGAATATCAAAATCCCCAAAAAAATCTATCAAAAATGAAAGTTTCAATAGCTGCTAGAATTTTAAGCCATACTGTTGCTGCCACTATTGAAGAAATGGTTAGCAATCCGAAAAACAATTTACCATTACAGGCCATTGATACTGCAGAGTTTGTGCATGACATGGATCAACTTTTTGATAGTTTCAATGGTAGAATACCTAAGCCAGAGTGTGGAAAACCGTATCGTAGGTGTTTATCTGATAAATCTCCTCACTTTGCACTTTGGAATAACCTTCTTCCAAAAATCAATAGTTGGGAGTTTATATCTCCATCCAAGTCTTCATCTGGGTCTGTTGCAAAATCCAGAATGCCATTTAAAACTGGTTGGTTAACAACTATAAATGCCACAAAAGAATTGTGGAATGTATGTAGAAATATGGGTTTTAAATTTTTAAGAACGCGTTCTCTAAACCAAGAACCACTGGAAAATCAGTTTTCATCTATAAGGCATTTTGGGGCAGAAAATACAAACCCAAATTGCTACCAATTTGTTAGTTGCTTTAAAACATCCGTTCTCAACAACTTAGTAACACCCGTTTCAAATCGAAATTGTGAGATGGATGGCACTAGTATTCTTGACAATTTGCAGTTTTTTAAATGCTGATATATTGGATTTTGTAAATTTAAAAAAAATAGAGTCTAATGAGATTGAAAATATAATACTACCATCAACCAATTTTGATTTTACAGACCATGATGCTAATACATGCACTTATGTAGCTGGATTTTTGATCAAAAAAATTAAATTACATAGAGAATACAAAAAATGTGCTGCTAATTTGTTGTCAGAAACAGTCGAACCCCAGCATATGTTTGTATAATTTAAGGAATATACAGATAACAAAAACAGACAAAATATCATATTTAAAAAATAAGATTAAAATAATTTTGAAAAGTCATCTGGATTTTAATTGGTATACTTGTGTAGATCATAAAGAAATTATGCAAAGTGACATACTTGATGTTTCTATAGAACTTTTAATAAAAAAAGTATTATGACGACATTTCTAGAATTTTTAAATCAGACAAAAAAAACAAGCAAGATGAGAAAAAGTTAAAAAAGATGAAACACCTGTAAAAAATGTATTTTTCTCTCTTAATAGAAATTTGGGTTAGGTTTGTTTTGCTAGTACCTAAGGAGAATAATGATTTTTGTTTTATATTTTTTCTTAATAAAAAATTTGTTGTGCTCTTGTGGCTTTTATTATTACTAATAAAATATATTTTCAATTTGTTTCGAAATTTATTTACTGCAAACAAAATTCAGATCAGAAACATCCATTTAAATATCCCGCTTTTTTTCGCCTTGAAGCATAGGTACCTGCCTTATCGATTGATGCAACGACTGTAGTTCCTATTATCCCCCACTGGTGCGCTTCGATCAAACGGTCTTCTACTTTTTAGTATAGAATCGGACACTCTCCTTTATGCATTATATTTCTCTATGGTCAGGACTAGTCGTTTTAATATTTTAATTTTTTTGAAACGTTCCAGTTGTATCGAAACGACGACTTTTCCTCGAGCCTTTTCAAAGATTAAACACGAATTACGAATTTTCTCGTAATGCGATAATAGTTAATTAAACAACAAGTTTTGAAAACGACTTTTTTTGCACGGTGAGATAGGCGAGTTCCACAAGTCGAGAGAGTGTGAAAAAAGGTTAGCAAACGAGACCAATATAAATAAAAAAACTAATTAAGCAGCGTGTGAAAAACTTTTTTGCACGCCGTGCGAAAAACTCTATTTTCAGAGGTTGCCTAGCGTGCGAAAAGCTACATTTTCAGAGGCAGTGGTAGGAAAAAATATGTATTTGGGTCTGGAAAATCTTTCAGAATGGAACATGATATTAATGTGCAATTTTCGACTTTTCACAACTTCAAAATTTCGGAAACTCTTGAAGCTCATTATTTTTATCGCCAACCGTCAGTAAAACTATACATTACCATTGCGATTTCGGAAGTGAAGAAATACTTTTATTTGTCACTCATTTGTAAAACGTCACTTATCAAGTCAAAACATAACCAGCGAAAATTGATTTTTACAAGCTACTGGCTCTACTGACTTGTAAAATTGACAGCTAAACTGTAAAAACTTTTTACAAGTCAGTAGAATTATTTATTTTTGAAAAATCGGTTTTATCACAAGAATAATTGCTTGTAGGTACCTTCTGGAAGACTTTTCTGGTGATAAACTGTTGGCTACGACTGAGGCTTCATTAAGAATATCTTGTAATAAATTCATTTCTGGAAAAAAATTGCAAAATGAAAATCTGTCAAAAAACGTATTTATAACTAGCAACAACGTCTTAACAACGTATCATTCTCATAGTTATACCAACTACCAAAACTTCTGTGAGAAAAAATCAAGGAAAAACATATAAATTTCAAATTTTTGTTATGTATTGATTTTTTATTTGTCCCTATATCTTTTACAAATGAGTAACAAATAAATTATTGTACATTATACGCCAGGTAGCAGTTTTTACTGGCTCTTGAAGGTGACAAGCTCGCCTGGCGGCTCGCTAGTCATTTCCTTCAATCGCCAGTAAAAACTGTTTTACCTGGCTAATAATGTAAAATACTATATTGCACTGTATTTTACCTGTCGCAAATATTTTTGCAGAGTTCTATGTTGGGAAAACTCAATAGAACAAAAGTCGCGAAGACGGTTTTGGGCAACAGTCAAATCAAACTGATACCACAGTTAGTACCAATGATAATTTTAATAGAGAAGTACTTACGCATTGATAACATATTGAAACTCCTTCGACTTCAAGGATTAATTGATATCATACGACAGGGTGTACATTTACGTCCAATATAACAAACAATAATTGTTTACAGACAAAAAAATAAGAATATACTACTACTTGTAGTAGTAGCAGATACTTCGTTTTTATTCATACCACCCAATTATCTCAATTTTTTACAGTTATCAATTTTTACGGTTGGCGATGAAGTTTTGTATGAAACACATCAGTAATGTGTCTACATCGAACTCGCCCGTTTACTCGGCTCGTTCGATAAAGTATCACTTTACTGCCTTGGTTCATAAATAACTATCAAGAGTCCCTTGAATTTCAAGATTCTCGGAGAGACTTATGACTCGCTTCCAATCTCAATATTCTGAATGATCTGTGAATGATAAACTGTGCTGTTAAATAAAATATTCCAAATTAAAACATAGGTACCTTTTACTCCTTCAGCGGTGGCTTAAAAACGATAAAAATTAAGGCAAAAAGTGAAAATAACAGCATCACCGCTCAAAAGAGTAAAACTTTTGCTTCCGGAAAAATAATATGTTTAGTCTACTCACCATTCACGTATAATTGAACGGCATGCATATCCTTGCCCTTGTCGTTTTCCACGAGCAAATAATAGGTCCTCGAGTCCGTCGCTGAAGTATCTTTGACGTGGAGTGTGGTTAAATAGCAATCTTCTCCCTCTTCTTGAGTTACGTCGTCCACTTTGAATTTTCCTGAAATAATTGATATAATAATGATTACCTACGTACAATTTTCTTATAGTAACTTCAGAACATAGTCACCAATGTAAATGAACTTGTTACAAATATAAAATAATTTTCAATAGTTTCTTATCGAATTTAATGGTTAAGGCATAACTCAGACGTACTTTGAATTTCAATGTTTTATTTTAACCTCATTTTGATCTAGCGGTACTGTGTCTGGCTATTGATTCACATCCTATTTTTGGTCACTCTTCACCACATGATAGGATGTTGCATCATTAATATTGCTCAAGACATTATTGCATTCTCATGAATAATTTCAAGCTCTTGCCTTGGGTTCTTGTTATTGGGTAGAACATGGGTTGATTATATTTCACTTGTGATTATACAGGGTGGTCCAAATTGGACACTTTCTTTTGGAAACTCCCCTCATTTTTAGAGATAGAAAAAAATGAACCCAGGTGTCTGGAGCTCAAATTTAATGAGAAAATCAATGTCAGAAATAAAATTCTCTAATCGTTTGGCCCCTAGAGGGCGTTTCTCGAATTTTGTCGATTTCTTCAATGCCCCATAACTTTCTTATTAATAATAATGGTAAAATGTTTCTTAGAGCATTCTTTTTTATGTATAATCCATTGCGATAAATAGTTTTTATACAGGATGTTTGTTTTTTTTTTTTAATACGACACCAAACTCATTTCTTTTTCATGCGGACCACCCTATATATTTCGAAGTTCTTAAAGAGAGCGTAAAACTTCATAAATTTTGGTACATCACTTGTTATATTTATGCTAAATATCATACAGAGTGTCAGTTTTTCGAGATCAACCATTGGGATTTTGGACACAGTATGAAATACAGGGTCGGTTAAATTGGGGCAAAGTTGCGCAATTTTATGGTCAATAAAATACCATTTGAAATTTGATAAATTCCTAATACTTCCGAAGATATTCAGACACCCTGAATAATATTTAACATAAAAATAACATGCGCCATATCAAAATAATTAAGGAAATTTCACGCTCTTTTTAAAAACCTCAAAATGGTGATTCATATAAAAAAAAAATGAGTTTGGTCTCGCATTAAAAAAACCAAAAACCCTGTATAAATATCTATATCGCAATGGATTCTACATAAAAAAGTGCCCTGGGAAACATTTTACGGAACAAGAAGTAATTTCCTTATAAGTGACCATTTGCTCAAATGTGAAGACACTCGACTCAACGAGAGTATAAAGGCTGTATCAGGTATGAGTACAAATATTAAAACATAAGAAAATATGGCCAATTTCAAGCTAAAACTGTCCTATTAACCATGGGTCAATTGTTAGTATTTTCGGAGATATAGCAGAATTTAAATTTAGAAAAATATTAACAACGTAACAACATAGTACAGGTATTATCTTTGCCAGGATATAAATGTCAATAAAACTGGTTAATTTAAAGTTTTTTTTTTTGCAAGAAGTTGATTTTATGTCATCTGTTATCAAATTGAATAATACTTACTCAGCTACTTGCCAAATCCTTATTATGAGAATATTAATTTTTGTTAAAAGGTTGTCAAAACACGCAAATCAACAAGCAGATTTTGCACACTCACACTTCCCGTATCACGCAATCTTTGTAAAATGGGCACAATGTTCTTTCATCAGGTGGGTACTCTTGGGAAATCTTTCCCTGTAAATTCTGGCGGCCAGACGGGCATTTCGCAACGATTCTGCCTAAAGAAGTACCTATCTGCATATCCGGCGTTTGTAAACCTTTAATTTTCAAAAAAAAATGAATTACGCGCATTTCCAATGCTTCAACTAACTGACATAAGATAAATCAAGTGTGTGTGTTGTGCTATGTTGCCAGATGTTTAGATACCAATTTACGAGTGAAATTTTCATGTTGTCTTTTCAATTTTTTATTATTGTTGCTGACTAAAAATGCATAATTACTTAATAATTGAATGAACTAATTTTTTTTACATCTCATAATGATTAAAATTTTCTTTATCTTTCAAATATTCGTCAAAAAATATCAAAACTTCAAAGGCCTTTTCCTTAAAAATGGTTGAGTTTGGACTCCATGTAGGATCAACTTTTTTTGTTCAAAATGCCATATTCCAAAGTGTAAAATTTTTGTAGTCAAACCTGATACACTCTGTATAGAATAGTTTTCCGGACAATGATCTCTGCTTTTAAAAGCAAGAGAAATATTTACTGAAATATTTTTATAAGCAAATACTCCCGGGAAACTAATTTGCTCAAAAGTTACAAAATACAAAACAAAAAGAAAACGTCAATGACAGTATCGTTTACGTTTCATTTTTCATTTCCAGGAGAACATTATATGCTGAAAGGCAAGTTTTATGCAACAGCCCAGACTATTCTCCTCTACTACGATTATGTCTTGAAAATAAATATAGTAATTTTGTTAAAAGCATCTCAGAAAAATTCTTACCCATCTCATTGCCGGCTTCTAGTCTAAGCGAGCCCCATTCCCATGCGACCGATCTCGGTCTGGGATCAGCGCAAACGACCATGCTGAGATCCACGGTTTGTCCACTTTCGACGAAGATTTCCCGCGCTGCTGTGTGTCGCAACACTTGGGGGGCACCTGAAAGAATAAATTGAAAACAAGTCAAAAACTGGTGCCTACAAAGAGACAATATTTTGTGAATAATGCATAAACAAACCATAAAGCGGTGTCATTGAGATACGGTCTGAATTGTGTATAAAGTTTGGTCGCTTATAGTATAAGATTATTACGGAACTCTTTATATAAAAATTATAGTGTGATAAAATCATCGTGGATTTCGTTCTAATGGGAACATACTCATACACACAGATAGATTCAGGATACGAGTTTTGATTTTTATTGATATGAGGAGTCAGATCCTCAAATTGTTCTCGAATATGCTCAAATGACTATCAATTTGGCATTGCAACCTTTTCAATACATCTTGTTTAATGACGCTCACCGTCTTGGCGCAGATTTTAAAAATCTTCAAGTGCTGTAAAATGTATCATTAATTTGCTCAGATTACTGCCTTCCAATCGACACTATAGTTAGGCCTTTATTGCTACTTTCCGTTGAATCCGGCATAAATTGACGTCGAAAAAGTTTTATCAATTCAACTCAAGTCGCACGATAATTGAAATTGAATTTATGTGCTATAAATTATGAAAGCGTCGTTCGTAAATAATTTGTTTTTAATTTTGAAGCGAATGGTCTGTAACTTTTGTCCTGGTCCGACAATAACAACAAGGGCAAAATGTCGAGTGTCTCCCAGCCAGCAAAACAGATAAATGATTTTTATCCAGCTCCGCAACATCCTTATTTCAGTAAACTATGGAGTGTTTTTTCACCGTTTTATGGCGAATAAAATTCGCTTGGTACAAGTTCAAGAAAATTATTGTCCCAAATCCTCAGAAGCAAAATTGGTATACTTCAACCACGTGACGTTGAAGATTCGCACAAATAAATTCCTGATTACCAACATTCGGTTTTGCTGTGAGTGCATATGTACAGTCTGCATCAGACGTGTTAATTAATTCACAGTTTCACTATATGTATGTCGCCTGTCATTTACGTATGTGATCGGAATTATCATTTGGAAATTCCTAATTAATTTGGGACACTCACATTTAACGTTTCGCCGCGGTTGGGGCTTTAATATTTGTGCAAAGCATGCAATATTCAATGGTTTTCAGCTCGTAAAGATAAAAGGATATTGTGAGACGCAATTAATGTTCAAGATAATGGAAGGACCGTTAAATTAACAAAGATTTGTATGGACGGCATTATTTTAATAGATCTTTGTATTTCTAAGTATTGACGACATGAAATACGTACTGAAAATTAATGGAACGAGATGCAAGTATTTGGGGCCATGTCAGAACATTCTTGAGATTCAAGTTAATTTTTAGCTTTTTTTATTGACTCAATCCAAACCGACGTTTCGGTACAATTCACACTATTATCAGGGCTGTTAAGTAAGATTGAATTGAAACAAGTTCCCAGAGAAAAATACAAAAATTTACAGACTACAATCTCAAACTTTTTTTATTTTTAATTTTCGCAGGGTTCTGGAAGGAGCAGGACAGTCTTCTTTTTCAAGGTTATTAACTACTAACACATAATAATTTCTTCTCACGTAGGTAAACCTCAAACTGTAGTTTTTTATAGGTTGTTAAAATACTGTCTTGGATCTGTTGGCATACAAAGAGCTGCAGCTGGTGGTTTTCCAACGTGAGTAGAAATTATTGTATTGGTAACCTAGCACTAGCACTAATATTACAAGTTTTCTCTATCCCTGGAAGCTTATACTGAGACGGAAACCTGAGATTAAGTACCAGGTGTTCCGGAGGGTGGACATTCTGGCAACGAGGGAACTCTGAGACATAATGGAAGGACTGGATCATTATACAGATGCGGAGATACTCCATGGTGGTTTGGAGTGAGCTTTTATGGACAACAATCGAATAGTTGTAAAACAGAAGCAGCAGGTTGAAGGCAAAGAGTACCCAACAAATAAGGTTTTATTACTGATTAAAAAAAGGGATTATTTCTATAAAAAACTGAAGATCCACATCGATAATGAATATTATAAAGCAAAATATAAATATTAAAATGAGTAAAAAAAAAACAAATAGTTACCAGGCGATTTGAAAGGGACATGGGAGATGAAAGGAGAACAAGGAAATATAGGATTTTTGCGCTATATTTAGGATGACGTCACATTTAGTAAATTTCGGCTGACAACTTAACAAAACTAAAAGTACTTTTTAACGTATTTGAAGTAGAGGAATTTCAGATGTTTTTGGTTGGCAAAGGCGCGCGACGTTGCATGACTTGTATAAACATTTTCATTTCGTTATTTTCAGCTGTCGTCAGAATTATTGACACAACATTAAATTATAAGAAAGAAAATAGACATTGACAACATTGTCAGTCCTTGTTCGACGACGTCATCCTAAATATAACATAAAAAACCTATAGAGTAATTTATAACAAGGATAATATTTTGAACACTGTTTTCATGATAAAGGAAAATGGAGCAACCTTGACAGACAATCGAGACATAGCCAAAGCTTTCAATAAATACTTTGTTGATATTGGACCTAGATTATCAAGAAACATTTATACTGCACCAATACCACAAACAGAAGACCAGCCAGCCGGCTCATTTTTCTTGACACCAGTGGTGGTAGCCGAAGTGGAATGCGTAATACAGGGATTGGAAAAAAATAAAACTTCAGGGATTGATGGAATCGATGTCAACAGTGTGCTGAAGCTCAAGCATGAAACGGCAGTGATTCTGACAAAAGTTATGGACTTCTCATTTGAAGCGGGTATGGTGCCCGGTAAGTTGAAGATTGCTAGGGTTCGACCTCTGTTTAAGGATGGTGACAGAAGTGAAGTAACAATTTATAGACCTATGTCAGTTGTACCTGTGTTATCTAAGATTGTGGAGATATGTGTCATTCAAAGGTTACAAGTCTTTTTGAATGGTAATAATTTGCTGAGTGGAAGTCAATATGGTTTTTGTAAGGACAGAGACCCTGAGACGGCAGTTATAGATTTATTCTCAGATATACAGCTTAAAATAAATGGTGGTCAAATATGTGCCTTAGTGTCCCTCGATTTACAAAAAGCCTTTGATACTGTAGACCATAGAATACTGTTGGTAAAGCTAGAATACTGTTGATAAAGCTAAAAGTACCTTTGCTTTGGTATATTGTGGTGAAAACACTAATTCTATCAGGGCGGGCATTACTTAGGATCTGGGAGTGGTGAATATTTGGTTAATATCACATGAATTAACGCTTAATATTAAAAAATCATCTTACATGATGTTAGGTAAAAGAAGTTCAAATAATACCCAAAACATAATGTTTGGAACCCAGTCACTAAAAAATGCCTGTACAATAAAATATTTGGGACGTTTTATAGATGGTACACGGTCTTGGGCAAATCACATAGTTATCGTATAGAGTTGGATACCTCTTGAAGTTGACAATTCGCAAAAAACTTTACTATGCTCACATCATGTAGCTATTTATATTTTTATGTAGCTATTTACATTTTTTGATATCTGTCTGGGGAACTGCTGGAATTTCTCTTCTGGAACCATTGCAAGCCCTCCAAAATAAAGCATTAAAAAACATACAGAGTGACAATTTGAAAAGTAGCAGCGCGAATATCTCTTATACAAAAAATACTATCAGCAAGATCTCAAATACGTATTGGGGGATTGGAGGGGGAACCAAAATGAGGCACTTTTTGAGTCACCCCGCCTCATCCCTTAGGGGCTAGCTACCCCAAATTATTTTTTTCAAATACGAACCTACCTTGTGTTGCACATCGTTCGATAGCTCGTTGATAGGTACCCTTTACAGTCATATAGCAAAATCCTAATTTTGACTATCTCATAGGCAAAAAAATTCTGCGGGTCCACGTATATCACATTGACTGTGACGGAACTAGCTATTACCCTTTTGTGGACTCTAGTCATTACCGCACCAGGGATGTCAAAAGTTTTTACTTTGACTGACTGTAAAAATTAACCATTAGGTGTTGGATCATTTAAGCCTTGTATTGAACTAGGGGTGCCTTGATTCTCATTTATACAAATAAAACGCTGAAATAGAATAGTTATCAATTTATTCAATAAATGAAGCAAAATTCTCTACTATGCCTGTTTAAGGTTATCCCTGTCTCACTCTCGACGGGCTCCAACTCTGTATATCATTGTGTTCTCTCTCTCAGTGGAAAATTCCTTAGCTGTCAGTGCAAATTACTACGAATAGTGATAAATGGATAAATAATCACTATATGGATCTACCGGTATGAACTGGATTAAGCAAGTAAGACCGTTTCAATTTCTCAAAACAGTCGAACAATAAATTAATAAATACTGAATACTGATTCGGTTGAAATGCACTATAAATTGAAGTGTTTTGTTCTAACCTTTAATACAGAAATTTGGTTTTCACACTCGTGAAATGAACATTAATTTGTAAATTTGTATATAGAAACTGAGCATATATATAGACTTTTCTTGCACTTATTGTTTACACACTTCAGCAGAAAAGTGCTCAAATTATTAACTCTCAATAAACAAAGGAACTTTCAAGGATAAATAAACATTTTGTGAATACAGTGAGCTGATTGAAGTTTACGAATTATTTGTGTTGTGCTCTCGTAAATTTAAATTAGTTAATTTGTGTTCTCGTTCTTTGAACATTTAACCATAAATGATATTATTATTATGAAATTTCACTATTTCTCATAAATCAAGATATTTATTTACTCGCTTATTCACTTTAGATTAGTATAAAATTTGTAGTTCGACTGGACCAATGTGACGGAACTAGCTATTACCCTTTTGTGGACTCTAGTCATTACCGCACCAGGGATGTCAAAAGTTTTTACTTTGACTGACTGTAAAAATTAACCATTAGGTGTTGGATTATTTAAGCCTTGTATTAAACTAGGGGTGCCTTGATTCTCATTTATACAAATAAAACGCTGAAATAGAATAGTTATCAATTTAATCAATAAATGAAGCCAATTCGGTCTAATCAGCAATCAAATCCTATCTAATAATTCCT